CTAGTGTCCAATCAGCACGATGAACCCCGTACCTATGATGAAGCTATACGCAGCCAGGAACGCCACGAGTGGAAGAAGGCAATGGATGAGGAATTCGCAATCCTTCAAGAAAACTCGACATGGGAGATCGTGAAGCTGCCATCGAAACAAAAACCAGTCGGATGCAAATGGATCTTCAAGAAGAAGCTGGATGAGTCTGGCCAAGGGCTACAGTCAGAAGTTCGGCACCGACTACGATGAGGTTTTTGCTCCAGTAGCCAAACTAACTACGCTTCGAACGCTGTTGACGATTGCCGCTCGTCGATCCCTGCAAGTCAAGCACATCGATGTGTAGTCAGCATACCTGCACGGAGACCTCACCGAGACCATTTACATGAAGCAACCAATGGGCTATCAAGTAGGATCTGAGGAGGAGGTGTGTTTGTTGAAGCGTAGCATATACGGGCTGAAGCAAGCGGGTCGTATCTGGAACCAGAAAATCACGGAAACGTTGAAGCAGCTTGTGTACAAGCAATCCAAGGCAGACCCGTGCCTCTACGTTCGGCGCATCGATAATCAATTATCGTTCATATTGTTGTACGTCGACGATACACGGAACCGAAAAATTACCCAAAATTAAGTTCTTTTCACTCATCTCCCATGTTCCGTTCAATAAGCTAATTTTCAGTAAACCGCTTATAGTAGTTTACATTTGACTGCGGCAAAAATAATTACTTACTCGTGAGTATTTTCTACCTAAAATTAAGTTCGATTGACTCAAATTTGAGAATATCTCATATACTCACTAGTAGCTTATTCAACGATAGTCATGAGAAAGTCGAATCTCTCGTTCCGTTTTTGACAACAACAAAAAGTGAGAGTGGGATGCAAAACTCAAAATTACCCAAAATTAAGTAAAAAGAACTTAAATTAGGGTATTTTTTTTTTTCTCTGTGTATGTTAATTGTGAGTCTCGACAACAACGAATATGAGAGGATCTACTACTACCTGTCGATACGATTCAGGCTCACGTGCCTGAGGTATACAGGCATACAGGTGGAGCAAACGTGTTCCGGCAGTTTCTTGTTGAACCAATCAGCTTACATCCGGAAGATTGCTGAAAGGTTTGACATGGGTCAAGCGAAGCCATCGAAAATACCCATGGATCCTGGGTATCCAAACGTGAAGCAAAAGGAGGAGGAGTGTATGCCATCCGGCGAGCGTTACCAGAGTCTGGTCGGTGCTTTGCTATACGTTGCTGTGTGCACCAGACCCGATATTGCGATTGCTGCGTCTATTCTGGGACGAAAGGTGAGCCAGCCTACCGAAGCGGATTGGTCCGAGGCGAAAAGGACTTTACGATACCTCAACGCAACAGCTGACTTGAAGCGTGAGCTTGGCGGAACCGGCGATCTCGAAGGATATGTGGATGCAGACTGGGCTGGTGACAAATCAGATCGAGAATCAAATTCCGGGTTCGTTTTTAAGCTCGGAGGTAGTCCAATCAGGTGGACCGCCTGTCGTCTGCAGAAGCTGAGTACGTTGCGCTATCCGAGTCTAGTCAGGAGCTACTCTGGCTGTTGAAGCTAATGGAGGACATCCGAAGGAGGGAGCCGACGAACCAAACACATTCATACACGGTTCAACTTTGTGCGAGAACTGATGTCGACTGGCGTGATGAAAGTCAGGTGCTGTCCAACGGAATCAATGGTCGCAGACATACTCACGAAGCCTTTGGCTGGAGAAGTTCCGTACCATGATCGGTCTGAAGTTCTTCGACGTTGAGGAGGAGTGAAGCGGTGCATTTAGCAACGTGAAGAGCTGCAGAGTAGAAATAATATACGTCTAAGTAAGCCATGAGTTATTTGAATAAAATTCGTTCTTCTTTTGTCGTCGCTCTTACAGACTAGACGCTATTTTACTTTGCTCCATTCCTCCCAAGATCGACCGTCTCAATTGTCCTTCAAAGGTTTCAGGAATGAATGACAGTGGACCACAAGCCAGGAGCTGAACGAAAACCGGGAGAGCGCTGATTACTCATTTCAAGCGGAATCCGAACATTTCGACGCGGGACTTGGCCAAAAAACTTGATGTTTCGCCCAGAGGGCCAAGAAACGATAATAAACGGTGAGATTTACAAAACTTAGCGCCTTACAAACCGTTGCTTTGGCCCGATTTGGCATCATGCCACTACTCCAAAACCGTGCAGGGGTGGTATACAGCTAATGCTGTGGATTCTGAACTCTGTCTGATCGAAACCTATTGGGCCATGATGAAGCGCGAACTTTGGAAGAAGAGGCGAAGGTCAAAAAGGAAATGATGAGAAAGTGGGAGAAAAACGTACCGGAAACGACTGTACAGGCTCTGATGGAGGACGTCAATCGCATATGTCGAGCATTTTACCGAAGACTACTACTTGATTTGTAATCTTCGATTTTACTCAAACTCATCCTAAAATTCAACCGACGTGTGTAAACTGAAATAAATACATATACCGTATGCGTGATAATGTTTGCACCATCGTACAAATAAGGTTCCTATTTCACCTGTGCATACAATGCCTTGGTTTTCTTTGCATGCACGTAACCTATAGCTCATACCGTAGTAAGCTGTGTATAAAAGAAAATGATTTACTTATGTCGTTTTCGTTTTTGCGGTGTAGCACTGGTGTAGTGTAAGCAGGAATAAGCACGAGTCTTTGACAGCTCAACAGCATTTGCTTGTAAACAAAGGTGCATCCTATATCTACACCCTAAAATATTTCGGTGTACGGCAGTGTAGCACCGGTGTAGCTACACCGCAAAAACGAAAACGACATTAGTTTGACAGTTGCACCATGACGAAGTGGCATCGTATTCGTGATTTGTCCCACGCGCTTATGTCGCAAAAAGACATTTCAATCGCCGTGGTAGTGTCTCGGTGGACCGTCATTTATCCGCGAAGGTGGCCACAGGTCGTCCGAGGTCAACTCGGGTTCCGAGAGCTATCGCTGCTATCAAAAGGAAGATTCGGGTGAATCCAGTACGTTCAATAAGGAAAATGGCAAAGGAACACGGGATCAATGACTTTACGGCACGGAAGATTGCGAGGTGAAGTCCAAAACTCACATGATTACCAACCGCATCCGGAAGCTACGAGTCGAACGATGCAAGAAAATCTTGAACTTAAAAATCCGCGAAAAAATCCGGTAAACCTGTTCACCGACGAGAGCATGTTTACCGTCGATTCCGTATCAAATTCCAGAACCGACAGGTATATTAGTTCTCTTCCGGTAAAAGACGTGGCCGACGAGCACAAGAACGTGTATCTAACCAAGCATCCTGCTAGCGTTATGGTGTTTGGATTGGTGGCTACCGATGGCAAAAAAAAAATGGACCCGTTGTTCATTCCAGAAGGCGACAAGGTCAACACGGAGGTCTACATCGGGATTTTATGTAAGTATGTTTTTCCGTGGATCAAAGAACAGTACGGTCCGAAGCCAAATGTTGTATTTCAACAAGATGGGGCTTCGTGCCACACCTCGAACCGCACTCAGAAGTGGTTGGAAGAACATTTTTCGTTCTGGGCGAAGGATATGTGGCCGCCATCCAGCCCCGATCTAAATCCGCTGGATTACTCAATATGGCGCGCCATGAAGGCCAAGGCCTGTTCTAAACGTCACCCGAGTACAGCAAGCCTCAGACAAACATTGACCCGTACCTGGAGAAAAATGGATCCAGACTACATTATTAGAACCTGCCGTGCATTCCGGAAGCGTGTGGAGGCCGTAATTGCAGCAAGTGAAAACTCCATCGATGATTAACATAGTTTAAGATTCTGAGAAACCACATCTATGACACAAACGTCATTCCCATATACTTTGCGTGAAGCCGAAAAATCCTGGTTCTCTGGTTCGATCGAACCAGAGAACCAGGATTTTTCGGCTTCACGCAAAGTATATGGGAATGACGTTTGTGTCATAGATGTGTGAGAAACATCCCCCTTTGATAAAATAAAAAAAAAAACCCGAAAACGAAATTTTTGAGATTTTTTTAAAATTTTAACATGCGGTCTTAGAGCAAAAACAAAAATCCAACATGGCTGAATCGTAAATTTGACACATTAGAACATCTATATGTAGTCACCTTGCTCTACCCTTCCCTAGAGTCGGTGTATAATGAGTCACGCCAAGAGTGAAGCCAAGTCTACCTATTGAACTGTCAAAACGGCTACCTATCGTGCAAAGTAAATAAACATTACGATGCTATGAAAGGTTCACGAAAGGTATTGCAATAAAATATAAAATATAATCGAAGAAATGAGCATAAACACGCAGGGAGCGTTAAATTGTCATGGGATACGCTCGGTAATGATTAGTAATGAGAATTTCTACTATTTTTTGTTAAGATAATTTGACAAAATCACTGATATAATGATTTACTACAGCCGAAGTATTTTTTCTCTCGCTAGAAGTCATTTGAAGTTGTTGTAGAAGTCCTCTGTTGCCAAGTGAAAAGAATGAAAATCTTTCGAAAACCGTGATGCGAGTTCAACTGTTTTTCTCTTGGCGTGACTCATTATACACCGACTCTACCCTTCCCTAATAACATTGCTATGGTTATTTTGCTTAACGACGTGTTCGGGGTAACATCCAAACCATTTGTGGAACAGTTATATTATTTGGGTTATCGTTCGTTTATGGTAATGTTTTATTAGGGTTTTGCAGAATGGACAGTGATGTTTCACTGGAGACTTGGTCCTATGACCTCCTTCTGTGCTTGAAAATGATAATTTAGACCCGATATTGATCGATAATATCGGACTTATCGATATCGTCACAGTACTTGTGTGCAGCAGTTTCGATGCATAATATGCAACAACCTTTGTTGTAATCCAAGTAATAATAATGAGTAAATATTTTTTCACGGGTAGTCTCCGGTCCATGCGTACAACTTGAAAAATGTATCAACACAACTAGCGCTACACAAGAAATGTCAAGCCCAACAGAAGAAAACAAAAATTATTTGTCATCATTCGCTGTGCACAGTAATCCATTGGTGATGATGTGATCGTTCCGTTGTGTTTTCGCTTTCTGCTACGAAAATTTTACATTGCTTTTTAATTATTCTAATTTTATGTTTCCATTGCCACAATGATATTCGAAAGCATAAATTGACGCGATAATTGAATCCGTTCCGTTTCCGCATCCGTCCGTGTAAAGCTTTATGACACCACTAGATACCACCACACATTGTCGGAATGCAGCAGAAATCAACGCCCTACTGTGATGGAAACGGAACCACCACGGCCACCGAAACGGATGGATCGCGCCTCAGCGTGCTGGCCAAACAGCCACTCGATTTTCTTACCCGCACCGACGAGGGCAACTTCACCGTCACCCATTCGGACATTGTTTGGACGGTGATTTCCATCCTCAGTCGGATAGTGAGCATCCTTCTCAACATTAATCTCGCTTACGACTACTATCGGAAGGGAAAGGTGGACTACTTCATATGGACCACCTGTGGCATCGTTGTTCCCGGAATTGTAACCAGTACTCTAACAGTTTACATGTAGGTTGATCCATTCTCTTCATGTCCTTTGTGTGTGTATGTCATTACTCACAGTATTTCATTTTTCTCAAACGCGCAGGTACCTAGAGGACATGAAAGAACACAAAAGGGTCCGTAGAAGATGCTGCGAGATACTGATCTTCATCATCATCGTTCCCTTCTTTTTTCGATACTGCCAATCGTTGGCGTATGCCATCCAAAGCAAGCTTGCCGAATCACGAAATGACCGTGAGGCGCAGAAGAAGTACTACGAATTTATGATCCAGGAGGACAGCGACGTAGCGTTGGTTCGAATCTTCGAATGTCTCTTGGAAGCTGCGCCGCAGAAAATCCTGCAGCTGACGATCGTCCTGTCCGGAGAGGATCGAATAACGTGGCCCCAACTGCTCGCCATTTTCGGAGCAATCACCGGTATCGCGTGGTGCATGGCTTCCTACTATCGGTGCATTCGGTTTTCCCAACCCGACAAACGTCACATGTCTTGGCTTGGAACGATCTCTCAAATCCTGTGGCACTTCTTCGTCACCATGTCGCGCATTCTAGCGATCGCCACCGTCGCTAGTATCTTTCCCATGTACATGCTGATCGCCTGCTTTGTACATTCCTTCACCATGACCCTGTGGATATTCTTCTTCGACCGTTCACCGTTCTGCAGTTCTACTATGCTGCATAGTTTCCTGTTTTCGCTCGTCCTAGGAGTGGTGTTCATTTTCACCTACATCCTACCGAGAGTTGGACGAACCTTCCACCGGTACCTCATCTACTATAGCCTGTGTGGAGCGGAAAACGTCGTCTGTTTAATAATCTACCTCTATTACGTTAAAAATGCCACCATCAAAGATTCGTATTACCTGCTATTGCTGGGCGCTGCCCCGATCGTGCCGTTCACGGTTGGGATCTTATCAATGGTGTGCTATTACAAAAACTTCCATCCCAACATAATGTCACGAAAGCAACCGGAAGATCTGGCATGCAGCAGCACCGGGGGAAGTTCCACAGCGGACGAAGAACGGCAGCAATCCCCGCCTAATGGAACGGCGATCACGGAGGCTTCCAGCATTACCAAAAACAAGAACCTAGGTAATTGTCAACTCAATAATCATGAACAGTAATTTTTCGTTAGATTAGGTAGATTAAGTCGCAGAGTTGAACAATCCGTGTGTTGTATTGTTGTTATTTTTTTTATCTATTATTATTCGTGATGAGAAATTACCAGACTGAGACCCAGATGAAATCACTTTTTAGGAAAAATGAATCCCATAGAGATGATGCTTTTAGTATTATTACAAATAAATCAACACTGTATTAATGCATATCGTAACAAAGGCAGGTTTCGTGGATCCGAACGCTCCGTTGCCCAGATTTTCCGTCAACAGTTGGCACTTTTAATTGCCAGTTCTTAACAGAATCAGTGAAGCATGGAATTTAATAAAATTCCAGGCGTGGAAAACGTCTATCAGGTCCCTTATTCTGCGAGTCACGTGGATGTCTGTCACCGGTGAGGTGACTCTCCGTGCAAATCAAATGGAGAGTCACCTCACTCGAGGTGACATATTGGGGCTTATTACAGATGTCACTTCACGGTGAAGTGATTCCCATTTGATTTGTACGGCAATCACGGCTCTTATTATGAGTATCACTTCCTTATCACCGTGTAGTGACACCCGTAATAAGGCCCATTGTAACCTGAACGGCGAGAGAGTCGTGACCCGCAGAATAGGGGGAGGATGAGATTTGAACTCGCAGGGCTGGTAACAGGTCATTATTTTCAAATCAGTCACTAAAAAGTAACTATTTTTTATCACTAAAGCCACTTTTTTCAATAATGAGAGTAAATAGTTTGCCTTTAATAAAACCACAGCTTGATTTGGTAACATATTTGTGTTAAAAAGATTTATTAAAAATCAGCGTTAAAGTATGTCAATAACAGTTGCGAACAGACCAGAACTGCCCAATTTGTGTTGAAGGAATCTCTAATAGTTTGATTTTTTTTCTACTCCCTGATTTAGGCATTCATTTAGGCATCAAGCCAAGGCCTTCCATGGCCACACTTTGCCAGCTTCGTAGTCTGCGAAGGGTCCGTAGGTCGCCTTCTACTTGGTCGATCCATCTTGCCCGCTTCACGCCTCTTCTTCTTGTTCCTGTTGGGTCGCTTTCAAGAACCATTTTCACTGGGTCGTCGTGCGGCATTCGTACGACGTGCATTTTTGTGCAAAGTGAACGATGGATGGTTCTCCCAGCAGCTGGTGCAACTCGTGGTTCATTCGCCTCCTCCACGTTCTGTCATCCATCTACACTCTACCGTAGATGGTACGCGCAACACCTTCCGTTCGAAAACACCAAGGGCGTTTTGATCCTCCACGAGCAAGGTCTCGTGGCCGTTGAGGACCACCACTCTAATCAGCGTCTTGTAGATAGTCAACTTCGTGCGGTGGCGAATTTTATTCGACTGGAGCGTCCTCCGGAGTCCAAATTTTCTCTGCTGGTATCATTATCGGCGATCACCCACCAGTGAGCCCAAACACACGAACTCGTCGACCATCTCGATTTTGTCACCGTCAATCTAAACTCGGAGTGAGGGGCTAGCATTGTCTTCCCTAGAACCTCTTCCTCGCACGTATTTCATCTTCGATGCGTTGATGGCAGGTCCAATCCGCCTATACTCGTGCGGGAGCTTTGTGAAGATTTCGAACGAAGACAAGGACAAGGAAGTACGTCTTTATCAGCTTTGTCTAAATTGCCTGAGAAAAGGTCCCCATTCTAAGGATTGCTCATCGTCTTCAAACTGCCGCAAGTGTTGTGGTCGTTACCACACGCTACTTTGTCACGAATCATCCTCTCCATCAACTTCGAAGTCTGTCAAACTGATTCTCCCACTACTTCTACGTCCGCAAAAATAGTCGAGTCGGTCAGCTGCTCCTCTGCTGGCCACAAACAGCGAACAGTTCTTTTGGCTACAGCCAACCGCTATGTTACCTCTATGCTACAGCGGTCATCATTCTTGTTGACGACTCTGGAAGCGAGTGCTGTTTTATAACGGAACGTTTCTCATAACGCATGAAGGCTCAGCGAAGAAATGTCTACCTTCCAATCAGTGGCATCGGCCAATCATCTACACAAACCAAACAGAAGTTCACTTCCATCGTTCGTTCACGAGTTGGTGAGTACCACATCAGCGTAGAATTTCTTGTTCTTGCCAGCGTCACCATAGACCTACCATCTACGTCCATCGACACTTCGACGTGGGACTTTCCACCTGGCATCCAATTTGCCGATCCATCGTTCGATAGCACCAACCCGATCGACATCTTAGTCGGAACCGAGATATTTTTCGAGTTGTTCCGAGTTCCGGGCCAAATTCCTCTCGGTGACCATCTTCCGGTGCTGGTAAACTCGGTATTTGGCTGGGGTAGTGTCAGGAAAATCCACCGTTAGCACATCCAATCATCCAGTTGTCGCAAACATCGCTACCGTCACACACGTTCATCACCTCACGGAAAAGTTTTGGAAAATCGAGGCGGACAGTTCACCTTCCACCTACTCCGTTGAAGAGCAAGCCTGCGAGCAGCATTTTTGTCAAACCGTGTCGCGTATCACGGAGGACCGATACGTAGTTCGCTTACCTTTCAAGGAAGCCATTCTTGAGCAAATTACCGATGACCGTCCGTAGGTTTCATCTGCTACAAAGTCGTCTAATCCGGAATCCTGATCTACGCCAGCAGTACAAGGCGTTTATAGACGAGTACCTTGACCTTAATCATATGGAGCGGATACACGACTACGAAGAGCCAAACGTCAAACGCTTTTATCTGCACTATCATGCGGTGCTTCGCGAAGACAGCACAACCACGAAACTACAGGTCGTCTTCGACGCCTCGTGTAAAACTCCTATAGGGCCGTCATTGAACGATGCACTAATGGTTGGGCCAACCGTTCAAGGAGACATAGGTCAATCACAATGCGTTCCCGGAAGCACCAGGTCATGATAGTCGCAGATGTTAAAATGATGTATCGCCAAGCTCTTGTCGATCCTCGAGACACGTCTGTCCAGCTCATCGTATGGAAGCCTTCTCCAGACCAACCTATGGAAACTTACAGGTTAAAGACCGTCACGTATGGCACTGCTAGTGCACCATTTCTCGCAACGCGGGTATCAATTCAGTTGGCCAATGTAAGGCTCTAATTTTCTTTTAGCAGCTCCAGTTTTGAAGAAAGACTTATACGTCGACGATCTCTTTTCCGGAGGCAAAACCGCAGCGGAAGTAATCGATCTGCGAAACCAGTTAGAAGGACTCCTAGCAAAGGGTGGTTTCCAGCTACGTAAGTGGGCCTTAAATGGTGAAGCTGTTCTTGACAGAATTTCAACTGAAAACCGTGCCGTGCAGACATCAGTAGACCTTCACCGTGACCAGGTAATCAAAATACTCGGCCCTCTACTGGGAGATTTCAACCGACTGATTGCGCTACATAATTGATTTGCAGTCGGACTAAGCAAACCTACTCAGCACGCCTCTTCGACCCGCTCGGCTAAGCGGGTCCAGTTGTTACGATCGCTAAAGTTTTCATGCAAAACCTTTGGACCTTAAAGGACGAAAAGAGAGCACTTTGGAGTTGGGATCGTGAGCTACCAAATGAGTACCAGACGCGATGGATCAATTATCAATCACTGCTGCCAAACCTGAACAATCTCCGCATCAATCGCTGCATATTACTACTAGAACCTGCAACCGCCCAAGTCCACGTTTTTGCCGACGCCTCACAACTCGCCTATTATCTCTTCGCAAACCTCAAAAGAAGGCACATCAAAAAAAAATCAGCTTACGTGAGGAAATCAAAGACACCGCGGAGGAGTATTTTGCAGACTTTCCGGAAAATTACTTTTCGGACGGGATCATGAAGTTGGAAAATCGCTGGAATAAGGGGACTATATTGAATAAAATTAAAAAAAACATTCCCAAGGAGATTACTTTTCACCCCACCTAGGCTCTGAACCATTTGGCGAATAATTTAACTTTTGGTTAACATTTGACAGATGGAAAGTTATCGATTAACCCTGCTATCCGAGCGTGTAACCAATACTAATACCTTTCTCTCTGTTCTTTTATTCGTATAAAGAGAGGGAGAAAGATTAGTAATTTCCATTTAATTCCACTACCTTATTTGCTTATCCTTGACAGATACGCGTATTTCGTCTACAATGTGCAGACTTCTTCAGTGTCTTGTACTAATACTCGACTGAAGAAAAACATCGCATTTTACCGAATACATATATATTAACACAGGTACATTTTCACTTAAAAGCCAGGTAAACTTAAATTTAATTTCCTGTAGGAGCAGGTACTCCGCTGCTTACTCGTTGATGTGTCCTAGGTAGTAACTTGAAAATCCATGTGTGTCCGTTTCCTTGATCCCTGTTGAGTAAAGTTGAATTCTGTTGTTTGTTGATCTCGAGGCTCTCTGCAACATCCAGTTTCCATGGTGTAGATACGGTTCGTAAAATAGTGATGTCCTCCGTCGATAGTTGGTGGTCCTCTGTGGAGATGTGTTATGCAACCTTTGATTTGAAATCATATGTTAGGCCTTTTTCCTCTTGCTTTTTGGCCTTATTAACCTCCGATATATGTTCTTTAAATCTAGTTGCTAAAGTTCTCTTGGTTTGTCCTACGTATACTTTGTTACAATGATTACAGCTTATTTTATATACACCTGCTACCTAAAACATTAACTTGGTCTTTAGTGGATCCTAACAATGATTTCAACTGATTATGTCTACTGGTGAAAACTAAGTCTAATGCGAATTGTTTGAACTGTGGTCTTAGTTTACAGGTAATATCTTGATCAAATGGAACGGAGACTCGTTTCAAGGGTTCAGGTTCTGCGGTGAGGGTTTTAAGAATTCTCGCTTTTTTTATCAATGATTGCCTGGATTGAGGTCTCCTTGTATCCGTTGAGTCTCGCTGTTTCGAAGATGTACTGTAATTCCTTAACCTTTCCTGTATCACTGAGTGGAAGAGTCTGCATCCGATGAATCATGTGGTGGAAGGCGGCCATTTTCTGCTGGAACGAATGGTTGGAAGTATAGGGGATAACTCTTTTAGAGCTTGTTGGTTTCCTGTAAATTTCGTATTCAAGCGAAGATGATGATGACGATTCCGTGATGACTAGAATATCGAGAAATGCAAGACTCGACTTATGAACGACATATATGAATTTCATAAGCGTGACTTATGAATGATTTTCGGGTAACATGAGTTAGCACTTATACCACAGAGAACAGACGTTCAAGTTCGGTCAGAAACTTGTGT